ATATGTTTTGTCTTCTGTGCATGTGGTGAGTAGAGGCCCTTAGGGCCACTGCACGTATTCCTAAAAAAAGAAAAACGAGAAAAAACAGAAGAAAAATGAGAAAACAAAAGAAAAACGGGAAAACAAAAAAAAGAAGAGACACAAAAAAAAAACGAGAAAACAGAGAATTAGTGACCCATAACTAAGCTGCACAGACTGCCACAGACCTGAATTCGAATCCAGACTGTATATTCTCGGGCCACAAAGGCAGTCTCCAAGTCTCTGCTCCATGAAGGGTCCGTGCTAATCCGTAGGGACCCTTCAGAAATGAGATTGGACGACTAGATTGCAGCATTTGTATAAAAAAAAAAAAAAAGAAGGAAATGCACTTACATGCACACACATGTGCTCACAGTCTTGGGGGTATGGGGTGGCCCTTACTTTTTTCCCTCTTGCAGTTTGAATTTCGGGAGGGAGGGGCATGTTTGGCCACCCCACCCTGTTAGTAGGGGTCAATTTCTTTTTTTTTTTCTTGTTTTTTGTGTTTGGGCGCGTAGGGCCACGTGTTCGAGGCCCAACGCGCCGGTTCCGTTTTTCAAAATTCAACGGAACACCCCCGTTTTCGCGTTAAACGCGATTTAACGGGGGCCCCCAGGCCCGTTGAACGGGTTCAACGGCGTTGAATTTCGCCCGTTCTCCGTTCATAGGACACATAGACCCAAGCTGCACAAACAAAACATTTGTACACGGTTTTAGGGAGAGGTCACGGGTTCAACGGGCTAGGGAAGGTCTGCGGATCGAGTCCTGGTATCTGCAATGTTGTGCGAACTGGGTGAAACCCTTTCACCAGTGTCAACCCATAACTTTCAGGGCCACCCGACTTGTGTGCATAGATATGCTTCAAGGAAAAAGTGCAACTGGACTAGGAGTAGATAGGGGTGGGTAGCAATTTGTGAGAAAGCCACAGTATTGAGAGAAGAAAATACAGCTGACCCGATGAGGCGACGACAGTTGTATTTCTTATTAAAAAAAAAAAAAAAGCCTAAATAAACTAGTTTGATGGGTAGTAACATACAGCTTGTTCCCCGATGAGGCGACGACAGTTGTATTTCTTATTAAAAAAAAAAAAAAGCCTAAATAAACTAGTTTGGACTGAATTAACATAAATGTGGCCAAGTGACAATAATTGTGTAAAAGTGTTTTTTTTTTTTTTTTTTCTCGCAGTAAACGAAGTCTACGCTGTAGCCCAATGTGAGAAACTGTGTTTAGCTTTTCCCAGTTCTCTCGCTCTTTTCTTATGTTTTCCTCCCTGCACATGCTGAGATCGGAACATTAATTATAATTACATTACAGGAGAAAAGGGATTTGAACACTTAACCTATGGTTAACTTTTGCTGTTATTTTGAGCAGGCTTACATCAGATTAAAGCAGGACGGATCGTTTTGCTTGAGGAATGTCGGGCGTCGGGTTCTTCTTGTAAATAATCAGCCGATTGAGATAGGTCAGCGGACAAAGCTCGAGAACAACAGCTTAATTGAGGTACGTATGACGATGCGTCGGGCGTGTTTTTCGGCAGCTTGGGAACTCACAATGTATACATGGATGTTCGTTTCTTTTTCTTTTCGTTGTAATCATGCCAATAATGGTACATGGCCGCTAACCGTCAGACAATTGCTTGGCACTGACAAGTGTTGATTGCTTCGAGATCTGGGGGGTTAAGGATTAAACTGTCAGTTAGCCTTTCCCTCGTTAGATTCCTCTGATGCTCGATCCTGCCGGAACCGCCGGAATCGCTTCAAACTGAGAATCTCAGCAGGATCCAACCGGGCCAGACATGGAATCCTTCTCTCTCTCTCTCTCTCTCTCTCTCTCTCTCTCTCTCTCTCTCTCTCTCTCTCTCTCTCTCTCT